TAATAAATAATTTCACAACTATCTGACACAACAAAATAAGAGCTGTAGCTTTCTGAGTTTACCTCAACCTATTTCTCATCAACTATTTCATCCAAATAAAGAAGGTGCTGGTTCAAGAATGTAAAGTTGATCGTTTTAAATTGTTCATCTGACAAGAGTGAGAGCTCAGCTGTGAGGATGTGGCTGAGTACAGATGTTCTTGCAAAGATCACACACACAAGAATAACAGACACTTTTTTTTTTAAAATAACCACACCAGCTTGTACTTGTTATTGTGGCAAAATGTGGTGGAGCGACCACAAAGGTGGTTTTAAGCAATATGTCAGGTCTTTATATGTCTGTCTGTGGAAACATTTTGTCACAGCTGTAGCATCACAACAGTGCAAGCTGCAGTCACAGAGCTTTAGGTGTGTAGTAGAGATCACAATGGAAAGTGAGTTTGTAGATATGTGCGTGATCTAAGTACTCACTGAGTACACATGGATCAGAACCAGAGAGTGTATATGAAGATGGACAAATCCTCAGTGATGTCTGCCATAGGTTTCCTAAAAGGTGTTTGTTTTTGTCACCTTTTTTTGCAATGCCTGACTTTGCGTAACTCTTGTTCAATCCAAAAATGTGCGAAGAGGTGGAGCGTGAGTGGCCTGCCATTGATTCACTGATGGAAAAAGTATTGATCAGTAACAGCTGATGCGACCTTTCATTGCTGATGTTTGTCCCTTTTAACTGCTGAAAGTGACGGTCGGCACCGGCTAGAAATGACGAGCTGCTCGCTGAATGATTTGTACACTGATGTTTGCTGATGTGAGCAGAGAGACAATAGCCTCGTTATCGTCAGAGCTTAGCAAATTTGTGTATTTCTCCAACCCCCTTTTAATTTTCACTCACATATGTAACCTAATGCTCTCGCCGTCGAGCCTGGCTGTCTCATTTAGCAGAACTGCAGCCAAAGCAGTAAACAACACAGCAGAGTCGAGAACGGATTGAATTTTGACCTGCCGTTTTTGTTCTTCTATTAAAATATGCCCAGAAAATCCCAGATACTAATGCAGCGTCAAAAGCTATTTGATGATTGATCATGTATTTGCTGAGCTACGTATTAACAATCTGAACACAAACACGGGGGCCTGACCTTCTCATCAATAACCACAGACAGACAGAAACATAGAAGAAGCCAGGCTTACAGTACTTGTAGGTTTTTCGCAGCATAAAATCAACTTTTTTTCCCCAGGATATGTCTACAAGCAAGGCTGATTCAAACTGTAGCCAGTTGTTAGGTCCCCTTTGATCAGTCTGTCATGCATTTAGATCCAACCCCACCATCCTCCCCTGCTTGATTGTCAATTTACAGTGAAAAAAAGCTTTTCAAATGCTAATATAGGCTTGCCACATGCCGTGCTCCAGCAGTGCACTCTCATTACACTGTACCAATAACGCTCTTCTCAGGCTGCCTGTCACAGTTAATATTTTTTGTTGGTGACACTTGGAGAATTTTTTTCTGTGGCCCTTCACTTTGTCTCTCCGTCAGCCTCTTCACAACCCCCACACACTCATCTGCATAATTAATCAGCACTAATCATGAGGTGAGGTTTTTATAGAAAGCTTCCACCCCGGGTTCTCACATCAGTCTGTCAGTCAAGGACACTGCAGACAGTTTCCGTGAGTTTATCTCTTATTAAACCAAACAGAGACGCTGATTGAGACGGTTTGCTTTGGGATTAGACTGGGGCTGTGATTGTAGAAGGCAGCATTACCGCGCAGGTTGGAGCAACACAGGATTGTTGGCTCGGATCCCTTGACTACTTAGGAAGAGCCGTCTAGGAATCCACTCGGCCTCCTCTGACCTCTGCGCTCCCATGACTGTAGGTCAACCTGAGGGGAATGAGCAAAGTCTGGCTGTGCCTTTCCACTGTGAGACGATCAGCTGAGCCAAGATGAAATTACAAAACCGCTCGCTTGATGTCTCTCCACAAAGCCTTATTACTCGACCTCTGACGTTCAGTGAAAGTTTCCTAATCCCTTTGCCTTATTGTTGTAAGCAGCTCTTAGTGTTTCTATCTTCTCAGACGGTGACTTTCAGGGTTCTAACCAATCAGCACTTAGCGTTTTGAGTTGCCATTCCTGATTACCTGACCGATATCCAATCAGTGGCATAGTTTTCTTTGTCTTTCTCCTTACTGAGCTGCTTGTGGTCCTTTGGTCTGTCTGGGGATTAGGGGATCGCGCCCTGTTCCGGTTCTGAGCATGATGTCGACGCTGCAGCTGTACGGATTGGCAGCACGGGTTAATCAGGGTCTCGTTATACGGCCATTTCTGCGTAAACCTGAGCCAAACGGTGACAACATTGGGACGATACTGTAGTGCGCTGACATGTTGCAAGTCTGAGAGATGGCTGTGACTGTGGCTGAAGAGAACTAGCGAGGTTGCTGCTGAACTGCTGCAGAGGTGCTGCTTGCAGGATAGAGGATAGCCGCGGTGAGCAAACCTAATCAGAGCCTCTTCATTTTTGGGCCAGCTGTTAAGTGCTTGTGCTCTCGGTGGTGCACAGGAACAGGAGGAGGGAGTCGAGTGTGTTTGTGTGACCAGAGTTTCTCACCAATTATAGCTGCTGCCACTGCTGCTGTGTGAATTGGACTTGATTAAAAAAATATAAAAATAACAACAAGATCCAGTTAAAGAGACACAATCGTTAAATAGGAGGGACTGCTTATCATGCTTGTAATTAAATTATAAATTAAATAACTGATCATTGTATAATTAAAACAACATTTTTGACGGGCATTCGTGGTTCCCAGCTGATGAATCTTCCTGACATTCGTGATCAGATTTCCTCATCACTGACTAATCTTCAGGATTTCAGCTTTGTCTTGTATTTCTATAATGTGTTTTTAGACAATTTTTGAAGTCGCATTAGACATTAAGCACGGCCAATACCAGCTGACATGCATGAATAAGTACAACTCACCTGATTCAGAACAATTCCTCTGTTTGTCTCTTGAAGATGGCCCAAGTTTTGTTGCTAAGCAGTTGTCAAACACCAGGCTTTGTTTCTGGTTTCTTCTACACTGTTTATTCCAGACATGCATGTTGTGTCCTACAGTTGTCCTCAAATGTATTCATACCCTCCAATTAAAGAAGGAAAAACAGTGTCAGTCACTGAAATAAATTGAAATTGACAAAAGTAATAATAAATAAAAATTTTATGAAAATCATGACATTGCTTTTGGAGTGTGGTTCAACAGAAATATTAAAAAAACAAACAAACAAGCATGATGGGACTCGTAAACTAATATTTTTTTGAGCCAATCACTGCATTCACGTGTTTTCTGTAACTCTCCATCAGACTTCTGCACCTGTTGACAGCTATTTTGATTTTGCCCACTGCTCATCAGCAAAGTGCTCTCATTTGACCGGGACAGCTTTTTAAAATTTTGTTATTTTTTCCATTCTTTTCAACCACAATTCAAAAGCAATGCCTTTTTTCACTAAATTATAATTGAGCAAATTTTTATTTATTATTACTTTTTTCAGTTTCTAGTTATTTGAGTGACTGCTGTGAGTTATTCCTTTTCTTCAATGGAAGGTATGAATACATTTGAGGACGTATGTTTACCACCACCTACTGAAAACACTTCACAGCCTGGTTTATTATTATATATAAAACTTCAAATTCGCTTAATGACATTGTGCAAATTTAAGAGCATTTCAGTTTGCTGGCATTATCATTTTGCTCATACCACAGTCGTGCATAACTACAGTTGCACGTAGTCTCAAAAATCAAAATGCAATCAATTTATTTTTGCTTTTTTAAGACTTTATGCATTAAACTTAGAACAGCATCTAGCATTTTATTGATCAATCAGTCTCTGTTAAAGGCTTATGAACAGTTTTGATAACTGTTTTGTGCTTCATTTTAAGCAAAAAATACCCAAAACCTTTTGATTCCAGCTTGTCTTTATTTTATTTTATTCAACCTTTATTTATCCAGGTGAGTCCCATTGAGATCTTTTACAAGGGAGCCCCGGCCAAGAGGGCAGCAACAAGTTACAATAATACAACACAAAACATATAATAAATAATATATAAACACAACAAAGCATACAGTACACGACAACTCAATTAAAGCAGCTACAGACTTCTGTTTTTACAGACTATAAATCTCCCAAGAAAACAGACAATTTGAGTGTTTTCTGGAGCAGATTCCAGGACCAAGGGCCACTGAATCAGTCAAATGTGTTTTCTCTGTCATAAATTACTGTCAACTGAATTTCTTGGGGTTTGAAGCTAAATGATGATAAGAGACACGACTGCAGGAAATGTTATATTCTCTGGCATGTTATAGGTAGAACAGATGATAGATTAGTCCATAATGTAAATACGTTTTAGTTGCTGTATAAAATTACACCGACACAGTCTGGTTTTATTCTCTTGACATGCTGGAGCTGAAATGTGTTCTAGGCTGTTAGAAGTAAAGTCCATCATTGTGTATGTTTGCCATGCAGTCCCGTTGCTCTCCATTCCTCTTGTATTACCCAGACGTCTGCCATCCCCTCCCCTTCCTCAATCTCCTGTCAGTTTTGTGTTAAGTTGTGTCTTCCATTAGCATTTTGGTTAAACTAATGTCTGTTTTTTCTTTTGTTTTCTGTCTCTTGTCTCTTCTTTTTTGTTATTACTATTATGTGTTGTCGTCCCGTGTGGCTGCGGCTTCTCCCACTGCTGCTGCTGCTGCTGATGCTGCTGATGCTGATGCTGATGCTGCCCACAATCGCCAACCCTGCTGCACGCAAACCTCCCACTGCCAACATCTGGTCAACAACACATGGTGGATGCCCTTCTTCCCTTCCCCTCCTTTAATCTTTATCTATAAAAAAAAAAAAACCTCTGACACACTTTTTTTTCAATCCCTCTCGCTCCCTTTCTTGTCTTCTCTATTCTCCCCTCTTACTTTTTTCTTGCTCTTTTACTTTTCTTTTTCTGTCTCCACCCTTCTCCCCTGCTAGCACCATGCAGAGTTGAGAGAACACCATGCCACCTCCGGTAAGCCAGTGACCTTTAATAGGAAGTGCTAAGGGCAGTGAACACAGTCGGTAAAAGAGCCGGGGCTGGGAGCATAAGGGAGTGTGTGTGTGTTTAAAGCAGCTAATAGAAGCTAATAGTAATCCATTGTCCACATTTTCTTCTTACAGAATTTTTCATGGTATTGGGTGTTTGAACTCATCATAGGTTCCTGCCAGAAATGTATTTTCTCTAGCAAAGGTCCACCTTTAGAAATAAACCATAAATTGCAGTTTATCATGAAGAGGAATTTTTGTACAGTCATTTTGCTGAAAGCTTTGCAGGTTTGTCAAGTTGCATAGGGTGTCTGTAGCACTGCTGGCTCCTGTAAAGACTGTGTTGGATACCTTCTCCTGTGTACTGATTCAAACCTGTAACATCCACTGTGACATGTGTGACTTAGTGGTTTGTATTTTGGGAAAGCCTGTCAGTATATGTGACTCTGACTTCCTCTTTGCTGCAGTCACCTGTCTGATGTCTGTTTAGAAAGTGTGTCAGCAAATTAAAAAAATAGATACGTGGAAATTGTTTGTTTTTTTGGCATACTTGCACAAACAAACATGTGATCCTCTTTGAAACTGCCTACAAAAAAGTAAGAAAAAAAAAAGTAGAATTATCTTTTTTAACCATCAAAAACATCAAGAGGTAGAAAATTCTTTTGTGGGAAAAAGTAAATATCAAAAGTTATTTTGCCTCAGACACTTCCATTGCCCTCCTTCAGTAGTGATGAAAATGGTTACCTGCACATTTCCATCAGCTGCAAGATGTTTTAAGGTTTTTTTTCTTTGACACATACAGCCTGTTTCAAATCGCCTCACAACGTTATAATGGGATTCAAATCTGGACTTTGAAGGGAACATTCTGTAACCCTCTGTGTCTGCTGTTGCAGCCGTTCTCTGGTCTATCTTCTCATGTACATAAGATCATTATCCTGTTTAAAGGTCCACTTCCAGTTCAACTTTAACTTTCTGACAGGATGGCTTCACATTATCTTCAATTACACTTTGATCTGATGCAGAATTCTGCTGCCCAGTCGCTAAGACACTAAAGCAGCCGCAAACCATAAAATTTTCACCAACCTGCTTTGCAGCTGGTATGAGGTTAGTTTTCTGTAGTCTGCACCAAACAAGTCTACTGTTAGTGTATCCAGACATCTTTGATATGTCTGTCTGGAGTACATGAGTTCAAGAGGCCTGGTCTTTGGCTGTGTGCACGCTGGCAGACTGTATTTTTACTCTAATGTCTGAACAGCACAGGCTTTCTCCTGACTCACGTCCAAGTAAAATTTGTGCTCTCGCTTTCTGAACATGCAGCATTTGAGTTGAGGGTTGTTGAGCTGAATTTTCTGGGGCAGCCAGTCCTGGACAAACTGGCAATCGTTTGAACACCACTTTTAAATGATTTTTGTCCCATTTGTTAAATGTCTTGTCATATCCAGCCACAACCTTTTTTTTTCTGAACGCGTTTGAGAGCTCTTGAGATCTTGGCATAACAACACAACATGCTTAAATTACAAAGAGAACATCAGACCCGAGATGCCAGATTTTTATTTTTATTTAAAATGACCACAAAAAACAATTTGATGTGTTCAGTTTTTCTATACCACCTTTATTAATATACTTCTTATGTTTAATATGCACTGTTTCAAGGAGGAACAAATGATTGCTTGTCCAGATAAGTCAAAAAGCCACAACAATTATTATGGGATGGGACACACAGTGCACCCAAACCCGCCAGAGCTCACAGACGTGTACACAGCTGAATTTCCACAAATCTCACAACAAATCAACTGTTGAACACACACACACTGCTGTCTAATAGGATAGACAGATGCTGACGTCACTGGATTATGTTTGGGATTATATAGTATCTTGGTTACCATGTGTGATTGTGTGTGTGCATATCGCTGTGATTCACCCACATTCATGCAGTGTTTTGCTGTGTAACATCAGGATACATCCTAGTGGAGGGTTTAGAAGCTTTGCCAAGTTAAAAAGACTATCATACACCCTAATGCATTTTAGCGAAAGTCACAAGAATTTCTCCCAGCATGCTACCTGCAGTTGTCAGAATTTACATGTAAAAACAACATACATTTGTATTTAGGAGGAAACTAAAAGCACAAACAGGATTACAGTTAGGTGTGAGGTACATGCATGATCACAGGAACCAACTAGCTGCCAGCCACAATAAGCCACAGCACAACGACTAACTTTGTCTGTGTGTGAATACTAATTGGCTAGCAAGCAAAGATGATTAAATAGACATACGCTCTCCACTTTGTTGTCATACAAGCACATCCCATCCCATTGAACAAAAGACCAAGCCTCTACATTTAAGATTCCAGGAGCACAGTCTTGCTCACAATCAATTTGTAACAACATCCAGTTGTTTAGAAGGAATGCTTGTCAATAAAGTACATTCACCTCTGAGACATAACAGGTTGTGTTGCTCAAGTGGTATCTGAGCTGGTCTGATAGATGCATAGGTCCAAAAGCACAGATATCTGATCTGCAGTGTGTCTTGTGTACTCACTTGATCGGTGTACTTGTTTGTTTGGAAACTGTCAAAAAAATTCGAAACCTCCTTCTGACTCACTGTTGATGTTTTTACACTGAGACAGATCTGTGTTTTATATGCAGTGCTACTTGGATCCCCAGCAGGACAAAATCAGGACGCGTCTTGTTATCAAAGATAAAACTTACTTTTTAATTTTGCACATTTATTCTGGTCTTCATCCAGAATGCGGTCCCGTTGAGCAATAACATGCCTGTTTGCTTCATTAGCACTGGATAAACAAGCTGGAGCGATAAGAGACGGCCATGCACACACTCAGGTTATCAGCGCTCACGGAACTGCTTTTTTTTTTCCAATCATAAGGCCTGGATGAAAACAAATGTTACATAAGTTATCAAAAAATGGATTATGAAACAGAAGGCTGCACCTAGCAGATGCTCCACAAGAGGGCTGTCTGTTGATGTTCTCTGATCTGAAGGGAAGATGGCAACATGTCTGATCTGTCCTCTCATGTCTTCCCTTTTCATCCGTCACCTCCCCCCACTCTATTTGTCCACCTCTGTCCCTCTCCTTCTCACTTCCCCGGCTCCCTCTCTCTCTGGGCGTGTAGCTGCCATAGTGTGTGGTGATGACACCGTGCTTCTGACCCCAGGCAGGATGAGCCAGCGCCAGGTGAAGGAGCGGGACAAGGAGAGGGAGAAGGAGGCGGGCCTCCAGACACCCAACAGGGAGCACGTTGCCACCCCCTCCACCCTCAGCCCGGGGGTCAGCTACAGCCATGGTAAGATCGGCACTCCCTTTGCAACGTGTGCTATTATTATCAGCTTTGTGGGTTTGTTTCTTTTGTGTTTTGTTTGTGCCGTTTGGCCTCTGACAGTTGACTATATGGTGAGCGACATGAGAGAGAGAGAGGCAGAGAAAGACATGCAGCAAAGATCTGTCGTAGAAGTCAAGGCATGCATGTTACGGTTATGCAGTGTGCCATTAACAGATGAAAGTGTGCGTTACACAGTAGTTCATCTTGTTTAGTACAGTTTTCATTTGAGCTCAATGGATTACTTGTGGTTCAAGATATACCCATGACTTACAGGATTCATACTGCTACATGGTATGTTGTTAAATAGTTAATGAATTATCCCATAAACTCGTAAAAATAACTGAATTCCATGTGCTTGCATCACGTTAACATTTCTAGCACATATTTCGCGGGTGAATACGACTGAAACTGCACACAGTAAAGCAGAAAACAAAGTGTTGTGGTAGAAGCTACTGCAAACTGACATAGTGTCCTGGGCCTTCAGTTGCTTTATCTGCAGATAAAAACATCTCAAACAATATACCCCCCCACACACATACATACATACAGATGAAGAAAATTATAAGGAACAGAAACACCAGCATCGACAGTACATACAAAACAAAACAATAACAGACAAATAAGTAAACAGAAAAAAAGTAAAACCAGTGAAGATACAATGAATAAATTATGTTAATAATATGTAAACCAAGGTATCAGAAGGGATTATGGTGTGTTACAAGTTGGTCTGTATGACCTGCTGCCATCCTGCTCTATGAAACATATAACATTAGTTCTCCAAAGATGACATGATGTTGACAAAGGACAGAAAAGGACCCCAAGTGTTGTTAAGATTGGCTGAGCAGCTTCTAACACTGAACTTAATTCTTTAAATAAATATTTTAGGCATGCGTGTCTTTTTTGTTTTGTTATTTTTTTTGGCCTTTCGTGCCTTTATTTGATAGTGTATAGTGAAGAGGGGGACAGGAAAGTCGGGGAGACGAATGAGGGAAGGACCTGCATGAGCTGGATTCAAACTACCACTGCTGCAGGAGCTTTAGCCCCTGTACATGGGGCGCCAGCTCAACCAAGTGAGCTATCACTCGCCCTGACGTGTGTCTTTCTAATATGCCTTTATGTCATTGTGCGTTGGTTAGGTCACCCTGTGATCTTATATGCTTCTATTTGCCTTGCTAATTTGCTGTTGCTGCTGCTGCTTGCTGTTTATGCAAACTCAGTACCTCTTCATTGTTTAACTGCTGTCATGGTAACAATAGGATAATGTACATTTCTTGCATCACCACAACGACTTAATAACCTACGCAACACCTTGTGTTCCTGCTTTTTAACTATGTTTCAGAGTTTTTCAACATGCAAATGTTTTACATTCAGTATCTATTCCATTTTTTAGCTTGTTACGATGTCCATATTGTGTTTTTTATGCTGAAAGGTGTGTCGTGAGTGAACTAAGAAGTAAACACCGTGGTTGCACATTTCTACCTTGAATTTCAGTGTACTATTGACAGTCTCAGAAACATGGATTCACACTGTTTCATACTTAACAAACCTGAGGAGCCAATCCTGTCAGCTTGCAGTGTGGGGCTTTCTGTATCATTATCATCATCCGGCTCTAACGTGTATGGCTGCATTACTGCTATATTACAGCTTGCCATTGTGTAGTGTAGAGTAGTTCCACAGTGTTTGAGCAGATTGTATTAGAGCTCATGTTCTCCAGCTACAGCAACTGAAGAGGAGTGGGTGGAGAAAGAGATGAGGACTTAATAGAGCAGCACAGCCAAGACAAAGCAAAGAAGTAGAGTCTAGATATGGGCGGCTGTGGCTCAGGTGGTAGAGCGGGTTGTCCTCCAATCGCAAGGTTGGCAGTTCAGTCCCCCGCCTCTCCACAGTCGAAGTGTCCTTGGGCAAGACACTGAACCTGAAGTTGCTCCCAATGGCAGGCCTTGCATGGCAGCCCTGTCACCATTGGTTTGTGAATGGGTGAATGAGAAAACATTGTATATAAGTGCAGACCATTTACCGTATGTAATTGATGTACACAGATTCTCTTTTAGGGAATTAAAAGTGACGCTGTGTATACATACAGGTAATAAAATGCCCTCCTGCTTCACTTCCGTACAGCCAGGAGTTCTGCTGCTGTTGCCTTACTTGGTCTGGTATGACTAGTGGCCTATAGTAATGTCAGCAATGTTGGCAATAATGTCAGTAATGTTTGTGTGTGTTTATTTCGTGACATTATGACTCTTCTCTGTCTTTCTCGTGCTCCTTGTACACTACATTTGAACATTTCCCTCTATGTCATGCTGTTGTCGTTGCTTGCTGTCACTGTTTGGAAAAAAAACATACTTAGGATTGATTTAAAAAGTCTACCAGCAAATCAAATTAGACTGAGAAATTTCCTATTTGACAGATTTGCATGATTAAATTTGTCTCCGATGATCTGATTTTTATGATTCCCTGCACAGTTTTTGGAGACACTCGTCCGTCTGAATGCAAAACTGCAGATCTTCTGCAGCAATTGTCCTGATAAAATACATGAATATTAATTGGTTGTTGAATAATCAGAATGACTGTCTCAAACTGGATCAGTGCAGATGTAACTACGTGTCTCACTGTGCATGGGCAAGCCACTAAAATCCTACCTGCACTGATTATACTCCTACATGTTTAAAATGTAAACCTACTGAGCCAGACACACACTCACTCGCTGTATGTGCCACTGAACTTGAAATAGAGCTGCATGCTGTATACCTTGAGCCTCTTAACTCCTATAATCCTGCTGCCTTTGTCTTGTTTTATTTTGGGTGGTGTATACTAACACAATGAAAAGTACTGGACATTTCTGGCCCCAGGACAACTATGGCTGTTATGTTTGGTCTTTAACCTTCCAGGACCTGGTGGACAAACATTGTCTCATACTAATGTGAGGAATGTCTCTCAGTCCGTCTGTCTGCTCATGCACAGACATAAACCTGCAGGAAAAGCTGCTTTTGTGATTCTCTGGTACTGATTTCTTATGAATACATTAAACTACCCCAGACCTCCTATGAGATCCTGGTTCCAGCTTTGAAAATAGCTTTTTGCTCATCTTTTTACTGACATTGCTCTTCAAAACGCCTGTCAGTCTGAAGAGCCATCACTTTGGCTATATGGTGGTGGACAACCATGTAGTTTTAGAATATTCATGGTCCCACTGATAGAGGGCCTCATAGAACAGGACAGGAACAAAACAAAGAGAGGAGTTATCACTGTGTGGAAATAATGATTGAATTTGTCACAGTCTTACGTCACTGCTCATGCAACTTAAACCCTGTGCTTGTGTTGCAGCACCCTCTTGTGGATTCTCTGCTGCGATTAGTCAAGTGCAAGATTTTTGCTTTTTTACTTTTTTTTTACATAGGTCATGTGAAATTCTCTTTCAAGATGGAAAACACAGACATAACTGCAGACAAACATTTCCAAACTGTGGTTGCTCCTTACTTTTCTCTACCTCAATATGCATTCATGCTATAAGAATTATTTAACAGTATTTAGCTCACTGATGCTGCTTCTGTTATTTCTGGTAATAAGCATCCCATAGTGGTGTTGTACTCCAGTTTCATACTCAGAGTCGCACATAAAGGATAGAGTAAAGCTGTAAAGATAGAAGAATGTCATGTTTCTGCCACTGTGGCTCATAACTGCTCTAATGCTTCAGGGATATTTTATATTCAATTCAAAATATGTATATCTTCTTACATACTACTTACAGGAAAAGCTGAATTCAAACGTGTCCGCATGTGCAATCATGGTAACGTTTTCCACGTTTGTGTTTGATAGCCGTTCCCTACCACAAGAGGGCGCAAGTATTACAGAGAACTCAGTGACCTCCCCTCTGTGTTGTTCAGCGCACCAACACACTGTATGACATATGTAACAGACGTGTTTCCTCTCTGGGATCACTTGGGCGTTATCTGGTTGCTCACAGACTTGTGTGATTCATGTGTTAGTGTATGTACAGCAGCTCACCAGATCAACACACCAGTTGGAGTATCTTTAGGAAAAGCTTGTGCCTTTACAGCTTTCAAGTATTTAATTGTATCTGTTGTCACTTGTGTGTATTAATATGTGTGAACTATAAAATGTTCCTTCTGACGTTGTAGTTGAAGATTTCCTTTTGGTAAATAGTCCAACACTGTGTCTCGTCTAGTTGAATTATGATATGATACAATGAAATGGGGAAAAAGGGGAAAAAAAAAACATAATTCCTTTACCTGTAGTTTCCTGAAAATATATTTTAAGCAGCAGCAAACCTAGAAGCATAAGCGGTTACAAATGACCCCTCGACACCCCGCAGTCCAAAATGGGTATCCATGGCAACTGATTTAACTTTGGCTGTAGCTGTTGGTTGTGTGTCAGAGGGATGACGGTGTGTGCTTTGTTTTTCTTGACCTCCGGCAAGTTTCTTTGCATTCTTAATTACACTGTATTGCTCTGAGAAGTACAGACGTTGGAGTCACAAGGTGATGAATTTCTGAAATTGAAATGTAGGAGTTGTGTGAAAATTCACAGCTAAGGTGTGAAGACGGGTAGTTATTTTTATAACAATATTCCATAGCTCTATTTAGTAATTGGTGCTGCACACTACGTAGCAATCATGACTTCCACACAATGACTCTTACAAGGTCTGCTGGAACGTAATCTCACTGATTGGACCCCAGCGCTGAAGTGCATCACCTCTGAATAACCCACTCGATACATTTGCATGAACAGTAATCACTGTAAAAGCGCAGTGCTTGAAAAACCCTTGTTTACATGGGGTTTGGCTGCAGTAATTAAATTCTGCCCTTTATCCTCTCCTAAGCAGAATGTGACAAACAAATGTGCAGCAGAACAAATGACGATGACTTGAGTCTCTGGTGTTTCAGTTTTGAATCATATAATGTCAGCCTCTATTGCCAACATATAATACTTTCCTCTACAAACAT